CGGCATCATAATGTGGGGATATCACAGGGCATATGGCTCAAACAACACTTGAGCTAAATTCCAAAATGTGTTTGTTCACTGAGCGCTCTCTCAACTGTTCTAATTATGTCGTCCAGTCAGACGGTCGACTGTACTTCCTCATTAGAACTGGTGTCCCAACGTGGCCTTGCCCTCCATGACCAGAGGCCATGTTGCTGATTGGAAATGGGGGAAAGTGGCAGCTCTCCCAGCACAGAGGAACTGGGGGATGGCAAAGGAGGCGGCCAATTAATATTTCAACAATACATCCTCTGTGGCCTGAGATTGACTGACAAAACTGCGAGCTGTCGTAGCAGTTATCTCCAAAACTGCCATGTGGGTAGGAATTGTGAATGCTCTGTTTAGAGAGGGATTTCATATTCATTGCTCACTTTTGCATTCTGCATAAAATTGGTTACAGAAGCAATTAACACTGCAGAAAAATGAAATGAATATAAATAAGGCTGAGAGACAACAAGCTGAAGTTATCAGGCACCTGAGGAGCTAATGGTCTTTTCAAGCTTTGGTTTGTCTTTGGATCAGGGATTAGCTGGTAAGTTAAACTGAGCAAACTCATTCAGAGCACGGAGGTGACGCCCTGAATCAGTTAATACTCTGGCTCTATAAAAGGAAAGCCCTATATAATTACATATTCAAATCAAAGCATGAACAGCTATCTGCTGAGGAAGACTTGGAGATACGGATGAAAGTTTCAGAAAAAGCTGATTCAAAAAGTTCAAAAGTTTCTGAAGAAATCTTCTGCCTGTTCTTCACAAAGCAGGTTCTTTATGCGTAGATGCAGGAGGTGAATTTATCCAGAATTAAATTCCCCCAAAAACGACCGGATGGCCATGAAATTTTATTCAGACATTCACCGGACCAAGAGGATGAATTTTAATTACTTTGTCTAGTTCCTCCATGAGGTAAGAATTTAATTGTGTCCAGTACTTTGTTTTGTTTTGTTTTGTTTTGTTTTGTTTTGTTTTGTTTTGTTTTGTTTTGTTTTGTTTTGTTTTGTTTTGTTTTGTTTTGTTTTGTTTTGTTTTGTTTTGGTTTGGTTTGGTTTTTGTTTTTCAAATATTTTTTTTCTAATTCTTGCAAACTGATGACATAACCGTCAGCCTCAGGTGTAGTTTGTGTTTTGTACCAAGTAGCAAATGCAATCTAACATGCTAAACTGAGACAGTTAACATGGTGAATCTTACCAAAACATCATTATGTTAATGTTACCATTTAACTCTTAACACTTAAGTCGGTGTGGCTGTAGACTCTTAGTCTGGAAAACTAACCTGGAACAGAAGGGGTTGTGTCAAAGTGTGTGACCATTATTAACCTAACATTAACCAAGCAGTTTTAGTTGTGTCAAACCTCAACTGTAGAGCTTGCAGTTCAGAGAGCCGTCGTATGAATCTCTCCTTGAAACTGCCATTGGTAATATTATTTTAAAGACGCTGACGAATGACAGCGTCCTGCAGATACGAGCAACAGATTAGAGAACAAATGACCGACTTCGTCACCAGCTCAGGCTCCTTTCTTTCCAGAGACGTGTTGTTCCACTTCCTGAGAACCAGTTCCCCACATCTACCACCCTGACAGGGGTTGATTGACCCCTACCTTTGTTCTAGTGTTGGCAGACCACTAATGGGAATGTAGGTTGAAGACTCTCGGGTGATATATCTGCAGACTGCATGATGATCACTGATGTGCGTTGTAGAAATCTGCAGGGGAGTTTGATGAGATCGAGATAAAGTCACAGTCCTGTCAAATAGGTGGGTTATAGCCAGATGTTACCAGCTTCCATGAACCTTAATACCTCAGTTCATATACATCATCTTCTGAAAAGAAGGGTGAAATGACTTCTCTCTGCAGGACGCCTGAACGCCTCAGGACAGAATCAGAGAGCACTACTGCTCCTCATTAAGAGAAGCTAGCTCACGTAGCTTTAATTTTGTCAATGGTGATTCATGGACGTGGCTAGATGTCTGGGAGCAGACCACATTATGTCCAGAGCCTTTGAGCAATTTAAAAGTTACACTGTGGGTTTGCCATAAATTAGGCCTGAACAGCACCTCTACATCATCGAAGCCTATAAAGTGTGAAAACAAGAGACAGTTATGTACTGTAGCACCCGTGATCCACAACCAGTGAAGTAAAGCTCATTATTTTGCCATCCGTGGCGTAACATGAGGCGGTGTTATAGGTGGATCCTCAGCCGCCTGTCAGAAAGTTTCTGGAGTTCATTTGAAGTTTGCCTTTGTTTTTCACTCTTCCTCTCTGGCTGTCACGTTTCGGTGGCATGTTGACGGGTTTATCTGTGGGACTGAGGCTGATGAGGCGCGCCTCTGCGTGTTTGGACTTCCTGATTGGTTTGACACAAAATAGGGAAATTGTGGCATGTGGTGAAAACGCTCCACGCTGTCACGCACCTGCTCAGGTTGAGTGAATCTCCCTCTGGCTCTACCTTTCTCTCTCTCTCTCTGCCGCGCTCTCTCTCTCTCGCTCGTTTCATTACGACTTCTGTAGCCTTCAGGGTCTGTTGGAAAAATCAATACCATGTTTACCTTGTGTTTAGGAATGCGAGCTTTTTTAGGCAGCTAGTCAGAAGTTTAATTGCTCAATAGACCTTGTAATAACTACTGGAGAAGTACAACTTCATATTTACTGTTGTGTTGTTATTAAATCAGTGTAGGTTATTGACATCACACAGTTAGAGGGATGTGATATCTCCTCATGCAAATAAATTCCTGGGAAGACTCGGACCTTGATCTCTGCTCGAGTTTGAATTGTTTTCTCTACAAATTGTATTCACCACTGTGTTTGTTGTGAATAACTCAAAACATCATTTACATGCTTTATCTTCTTCTTTCTGCTTCTGCACAGTTTCATTTTTTTTTTTCCTAACAAAAATAGCAGCCAACACACAAGGCTGGATCGAAGGCAGGCAGCGGCCCCCAGACCCTGCAGGGGCCCCTGGAGGAAATCCACTGTATGACCATTAGTTTGTGGCTATCTGATTCATTTGTTCCCTTCAGATCCAAATGTTTATTCTTGACCTTTGGAGCAGCAGTTACTTATTGGCAAAAACCCCCCCAAAAAACAAAAGCTTCATCCAGAGCTTTTAACTACATCTCGGGGTCTTCCTCAGCAGAAAGAGTTGTCATGCACGGTTGCCGTGGAGATAGCGCATCACTCGTTGGGTTATTTGTTTTGTTTTGTTTTGGTGAAATTACAAATTTTCTTACTGAATATGAACCAAAAAATTTAGTTTCAAATCGTGTATGCAGCTCAATTTTTGTCCGGGGGCCCCCTGCTGGTTTACCCCAGACCTGCCACTGCAACCAAATACAAAATACAAGCAGGTACATTTGTGTTTTATTTTTAAGACAACGACACAGGGACAGGATCTGTCAGGCTTCTGTAGTTGTAGTCCAACAGCTGGTCTGTTTGTAGTCCTTGTCGACGGGAAGAGGAACAGAGCCACATGAGATATCAGCTCTGAGATTAATCTGAGGATTACGAGTGAGAAGAGTTCAAACAAATCTGGACATTAAAGACCGAGAGAAGAAAATAGATTTGAAGTGAAAATTGAAGTGAGACAAATCCGTGTACGTGAAGTTTCAATTTTAAGAAAGTCCTCATCAAGTGAAACTATAGTCAGATTTTCACAGTAAAAGTTTAAATCAATCAATAAACTTTACATCAGAATTCATGAAGTCTGGATTTGTGTTTTCAGATCTGTGAAAAAACTCTGCTCAAATAAAGTCAGGATGATCAAAGTCTGAGTTTTGTCAGTCAGAAAAAAGTCTAAATTAGTTCAAATTTAGTGAGAATTATAAAATACTTTCTGTTAATACATACATTTGATCAAATCAGAATTTGAACTATTTTTTAAGAAAACACACTCGAATGTGCAACAAGTTCCATCATTGATTTGCACAAACTTTGATCTCAGTTTTTTATCAAAGCTCTTATCAAAATCTGTTCAAGGACCAGACTGTAACTACAAAATGTTAAGAGCGTCTGGTTGAGTACCTTCACTGTGACTAACGCTCTCATCACTGGTGTGTTGTCAGCGATCGGTCCTTCCACTTTTTTTGAAGTTTGAAAGATCCGGTTGGGAAACGGCGTCACGTGCAGAGAGACTTTGCTCTTTATGTTGCTTAATGACTCGATCTAGTCAGAGATGTACACGTAGGAGCTTTTAAAGAGCACCTGAAGGCAGCATCGCTCGCGTCCGAGTGAACAGATATTTTACAGTTGAGGGCTTGTTGAGGGTTGATTTTTATTTTTTATTTTTTCATACATCCATGTGCAGTGGAGTTGCAGGCTTTTGAGTTTCCACGCTCTCTTTCTCTCTCTCTATCTATGTAGGGCAGCCCGTGGATCAGCTGACATCCCCATCCTCCCACATGCCCACACAATCTTGTTAAAGCATGCAGTTAATCTGAAGAGGAAAAGGACTCTCTTCACAAGCAAGCCGCTCTTTCATCACCCTATTGTGTTGCCCACATCATGTTGTCAGGAGGAATATCGGATTCTCCCCGAAAAAAAAAAAAAACTCAGGTGCTGGGAAGAAGCTGCGCCCTCGTGTGATGTCATCTCCCTGGGAGTGACCTTGTAGATTGGGCATCGTGTCGCATTATGTTTCTGGGAGAATTAATTTATCTCAGTGGGGGGGACTCTCCTTTACTTTTTCTCATCTTTCTCTTAAGAGTTGGCTCCACCATCAATAATTTAGAGCAAAGTGCCTCCACAAAGATGAAACAGAGGAAACACAGAAGTGCTCTCCAGCAAATTCTCTGGAAGTAGCCTACAGTCGTCGATTTAGGAAATCTTGCTCATGTTCTATGCTTTGTGTATTCAAGCTGATAGCCTACAACAAAAAGAGGAAAACACATAAGTGCTCTCTCTTTCTCTCCCTCTTCTCCTTCTGTCTTTATCTTTCTTTTATCAAGAGCTTATTGAAAACACAGAGTCCTAACTTGTTCAGAGCTTCACCTCCTATCATCATCTGGCGGGCTGAGGTGAAGTACGGCAATTTGATGGACACAGATACAAGGCAGCGCTCGAAAAGGCCTCTGATTGAATTGCCGCTGCTCTTCATTCCCCAGTCTGCCCAACGTGGGTGCAGGAGACACAGAGTGAGAGGGTCATCCATAAATGCAGAAGGGCTGCCTCGCAGCTCTGGTTTGACAGGAGAGGGTATTGTCTGGAGCGAGGGGAGGGGAGGGGAGGGGAGGCCAGGGGAGGGATTGTGCTGCGTCTGTTTATCCCCGTCGTGAAGTGGCTCAAAACCTTGAGACCCCCGCGCTCTGGATCAAACATTTTCTCTGTCTTTAGAGGCTCACAAAGAGGCTCTCTCTGCTTTTATGGGGCTGTGGAGGAATATCTGAAAAAACAGAAGAAAAAAAAAAAGCACCTTCTATCTCTCAACAGAGAGAAAAGAGTGAGTGCAAATCACGTTGAACTTGAACAACTCCCACATAATCACAAGTGTGCTTTTGCAGACATAATAAAAATGCAGCGAGCTCTCGAAGAGGCTTCCATGGGCTGATTGTGCTCGAGAGGAAAATGAACCCTGACAAACGAAGCAAACCTCTTCACTCTCCTCCTGTATGAGGTGTCTCCACGTTGACTAGACTGTTAATTACATCGCCGTCGCCTGAAGGTGACTGTATCTTTTTAGATTAATTTATCACATGGATTCCTACATCCTCCTCGTTGTTTCATCGCAGAGATTTTCATACCAACTTCAACACTGCCGCTGTGTTCCTGTGCTGTTCTCTCAGTTTTTCTCTCTCTATGTAACTGCCATACATGTTCCAGTCAAGTAAACACTGTATGTTACTGCGGGGCTGCGGTCGACTTGGCAACACTGCCATCTCATGGTGACGAGAGGAAAAAGAAAAAATCTGCACTCTTGCTTCTCTGAGGCGTCTTTATTAGAAAAGGTTTATTAATTAAAGCAAGGCATGTTATCATCATCTCAAACTGCCACACTGATTCAGATCACACCATATTGTTTCCTGTCAAAGACATCATCATCATCATCATCATTTTATTAGAAATGCATATGCACAACATAATGAAATCCCATTATCCCATGCAGCTGCTGATTAAAACAAATTAGTTGGACTGTAAAGCATAAATCATATGATCATTTGTTTTCAGCTTTAACGTTTTAATTCCTTCATGTATTAAAGAGAGCGACAGTTCATGTTAGACTTGTTGAGCTGGTTTTCTTCAGTGGAGGAACCTCCTCTGACTGAATCTCAGGTTTTATCAAAGGGAGTTGCATAAATTCATCTCTGATCTTTTTCAGGTGGGACTTATTCTCTTCTCTATTTCTAGTTCCTGAACCTCCAGAGAGCCGGACTGTCTCTCCGAATGAGGCTTAGACGCAAGAGATGGCAGATGGGTTCGACTTTTCTCTTGGTGTGTGAAAGCCACAACCACCACCCCCCCACCCCCCACCTCCCCACCCCCCAAGTCATGCCTCACGGCATTTTGAGCTTTTCTGTACCTGGACACCTCTGTGATCTTCCTCCCTCTCAGTCCCGGTCTCTGTCTCTGAATGACAGCTCTGCTCCCCACACCGCTCCTCTCTCCCTGTGTCCTCCTGTTTCTCCTCCTCCACCTCCCCGCCCCCCTGGGCTCGACACCAGAGCACCAGAGCGGCGCACCTCTCCAAACCCCAGTCCCCCACCCGCTGCTCGCACTGAACCACAAAGATCCGGTAGAGCTCCAGCAGGACAATGAGGATGTTCTTGCAGGTGAAGAAGATCATGAGCTGGTTCAGCACCTGCTCCTGAACCATGAGGTAGAGCCGGTAGAGCAGGAACGGGCCGTCTTGGAGTCCCACTGTGAGCAGCAAGCTCCACACTTCGCTGGAGCAGCAGGAGGCGAACGAGGGCGGGGCACCAGGGCAGCAGAGGAGACCGCCCGACTCGCCCTTTGAGGGTCGAGTCTGAGTGAGCACTAGAGGAAACTGCATGAGCGCCCAGGAGAAGAGGGCCAGGCCCACGATGACGACCGCCCGGTTGGTTTTGACTTCGGGTTCCCTGAAGGTGTCGAAGATGTCCAGGATGTCGGCACCCAGTCCCACGTAGACCATGAGGAGCTGGGACAGCTGGTCCCGGGACATGTCCCCCTTGGGCATCAGCCAGCGCCCCAGAACCAACACTATGAGCATGGTTTGCTCCAGGCCAGCCACCCAGTTCTCTGGATCCAGCTCCACGATGCCCTGGGTGAAGGAAACAGCAGCATCTGGTTACGTCAGTTCAATACACAGCAGAGAATTCCCTTTCTGAGTTTCTTTGCTGTTTCAACATGTTTTTTGATCAGTCATTTGTATCATGAACATACTACAATATTTTAACTCGGGTGTGTATAATCACTGAAACACACCAGCCGTCTCCTCTGTGGTGTGGATATGATTCTGATGATTTGTGAGTCAGCTCTTCATTGTGTCAGGGTTCACTGGGTTTATCCTGACAGCACCCGACGCTCCTGAAACACTACGTCTTCAAAAAAGCTGCCACCCAGCCTCGAGCACAGCCAAGGGCCAAAAAAGCTCCCAAATCCTACATGAAAGAAACTGCACTAAAACCATCCCAGAAGGGGAGAGATCTGAGAGTTTTTCAAGCAGGAGCCTATCAGGACTTCATCTAAATGTGTCTATTACACATTTCCTGCAACTAATAGTTTATCCACCCCCCCTTGCCAGATTTAAATCTTATCTGATATCAGGTGTTGCTTTAATGTGGCTGTATGGAGGGTGAGGCGGGGAGGGCAGTTTTGTGTTGGGAATGCCTACCGCTGTGATCGGGATGTGAGCCAGCAAACGAAGCTCGGGGCCGGAGGAACTGTTGACGGGCAGCTTGGACTGCAGCAGGCTCAGCTCCAGAAACCAAATGGATGGAATGACAGTACTGAGGTAGAGGAAAACCATGGGGGAGAACCTAAAAGAGGACCGCCAAAGGAGAGGGATGAAGAGGGGGCGGAGGGGGGAGAGGAGGTGGGGGTAGGTTATTTTTAGTGGCACGGTTTTATTTATTTATTTATTTATTTTTTGCCGCTTGCTAAAGAAGAAAGAGGAGGAGAGTCTCCTCTTTTTTTTTTTTTTTTTTTCCAAAAGAAGCATCGAATTTCAGACAGGCAATTATTCTCATCATATATGCAAATCCCACTTGACAGTGCAAAGCCTTCTCCATGAGGAGAGGACTTCAAAGTAAGACTCTGAGAAAGAGAGAGGCCTGAAGAAAGCCTGTGTCTGAGGATGTTCACCGAGGACGAACCGGAGAGCTGCAGTTTTTTGAATGAGAAGCCGCCTGGTGTTGACTGAGGTGTGAAACTAAATGCTTATATCCGTTTGGGGCTCAAATAATAAAGGAGTTGACGTCAGCTTATGTTTACTCAAGCCAAATTTCTGCAGGTCAGAAAATGAGTCAAGGCGGCAAGAGACTTCTTTTTTTTTTCCCTCCGTGCCTGGATGAGAGCGGCTGTGACAGAGAAGTGATAGCAGGCTCAGAGCATCGGCTCAATGAAAGACAGAGCAATAACACAGCAGAGGGATATATTTGTTTTTGATAGACAGTGAAAGAGAGACAGAGTTGCAGAGGATATCAGGGAATATGGTGGCAGAGAATATTACAGGCCGCACACACACACACCAGCCGACTCTCTCCGCCCTGGGCAGATGGGTTGTAAAGTCTTCACACATTTACAAGTTCGAAAGTTATTTACTCCCCGCACAAAACAGTTTTACAAAGTCTGGCTGCAACACCTCAATCCTCATGTCACCGCTTTAAACAGAGGGAAAGCAGCGTGTTAGCATCTGGCTCATACATGCTAATTTCGCCCACAAACACAGAGAGAGAGAGTGAGAACCCTTTCACACATGTTCGATGATTTATTTCTTGTTGTTTAACCATTAAAGGGACACGAGAACAACTTTACAAAAGCAGCTAAGTTTAGCCAATGCTAACAGTGTAGCTAAAAGACTGAAACATCTCAACTGCTGTTACTGTGTTTAATGCTAATTAGCTAATATTAGCATGCTAAATGAGATGTTAAACATTGCACCTGCGAAACATTAACGTGTTAGCGTTGTCACTGTGCGCATGCTACGTTAGCATTTAGCTCTGTAGCCCTTCTGTGCCTATGTAGAGACGCTTGCTCGACTGTAGAGTCTTAATGGAGGATTAATCTTGTTCAGAATTTCATCATAGTCTGTGAAAATCAGGATAAGCTACAGGAGCACAGTTCCCTCTTATACAAGATCAATATTTTGAAAACATTACACATTTCAGCCAAATTCAGTATCATCCTCACATTTACATTTTTGATTCTGATTTAACATGACTCATAAATATCTTACAACAAACTGGCATATTTGAATTATGCTAGGAACCAACCAACCCACTGTTTATTCATTCTTTAATGCTTTAAAATGACCTGTTGCACAGATAATGTAGAAAGCACAAAATAATTTACTCCAAATTCAAACAGAATTCAGAGCTTGTTTGAAATCAGAGAGTCCGTATGAACTGAGGGGATTAAATACATTTAAATACTTAAAAAACAAGGGTACGGACAAATATAAAAAGAAGGTGCACATCTGTCAAAGGGGTAAACCTGTGGATGAGTTGTGGTAATGAATTAACAATGTGTAGTTCTTTTTTAACTTCAGCCAAAACTTTTTAGGCCATTATTGGTATGTATTATTTCTATGTCTATTCACTATGTATAAATATTAATGAAGACTAAAATAAATTGAATTGAACTGAACTGAATGTTCAGTTGATAAATGATGACGAGGTGAAAGGACTGAAGGACACATGCACACAGAATGTCTTTGATGTTGAGCAAAATGTTGAGCAACACTCAACGATTATATTTAGCTAAAATAAAAATCTATTTACCCAAACAGAAAAAGACAGAAACTAGTGCTACTATCAACACGATTAGTATTATTGTACTGTTGATAATAATAATACATGCATGCGTCTTGTGTCATCTGATAATAAGAACAACTTAAATGTAAAGACTACCTGATATTAACTGTGTATTGTGTTGAATATATAGGAACATGTGTGCTTTGCGTGCTTTGCCCAAAAGCGTTACCATTTCCACTCGGCGTTACGGGTGCACTTCAGAGTGACGGCCATTTCCACGCCCAGCAGAGCCACGCCCGTCAGCAGCAGCCAATAGAGCGGCTCCCCTTTAATGGCCACCACGCGCCACACTGTCACCACCCCGTGGACCGTGAACAGGAAGCGACTCAGCAAAGCCAACAGGATGTTCAAGACACGACACATGGTGCGGCCGCGGAAAACCTGCACAGAAGATAATCAGAAGCTTCATCATGTTTTTCTTTTAAATCAAAACATTGATGGTATATTGAGTTTTGGTGGATTTGCCACCCGGTGCATCCTTGGACGTCCTCTTTCCGTAATTTACTGATTCACACTGTGTTAAATAGAGGGGCCATAATGTTAAATGACTAGGCAGAAAAATCCTTTTTGTTGCAACATTTATTTTTCAACAAATCATTCATGGTGCAAGGTCGATGAAAGTTGAGGCTGAGTCAGCGTTTTTCGCCCAAAAAAAAAAAAAAAAAAAAGCTCAAACAGTTCACGATGGAATAGTCAATAAACATAAAGTTGTGAATCAACAATTTTAAAAGATGAAACTGATAACAAAAATTGCACAGGGAGAGAGAGAGAAAGAAGATATAAATGAGAAGCACTTCAAACTTTTGTTAACAGGGTCTCAAAGGTTACAACAATAAAGTGGTTTATGTTCTGTAGTTTTTCTGGTGTATTACTGTAATAAACTCGGTAAAGAGTGAGAAACTGCCCAAGGCCACTTCAATCTGATTGCATTTTGCACTAAATCTTAGGACTAAACTCACACAGAATATCATTGTCGGGCTGCCAGAAGCCCCACCAAACATGAAAAATGTAACCGCCCGCATCATTACACATCACATCCCTAAGTTCAGGCTTCATTATCAATAACTATTGCATGATGTCAGTGTGAAAACAGTCCTCACTTGTCAATTAGTCAGCGCTATAAAAGCTTCGGAGCTTTGGGGGAACTCAAAGCGAGCAGTGATTTGTAAGCAAAGAGTTAGACTGATCTTCAGTCAATATTAAAGGACTCCAGGAGGCTTTGCATGCATTTGCTTAAATTTGATCTCTGGATCTCTGTGGATTATTGTGATGACTTGAAAGCAGCGCTAACATGGCGGCATCCTGGTTGCTTGTTGGTTAAGGTGGCATACTATGAAACACAGTTCTATGTTTTCTTTGTCTAAGGCCGGGAACACGCTTGATGCGTCACGTGGCGGCTGCGGAACGTCTTAGTTTTCATTTCAACACACGTTAACAGGTTAGTATGGTGGTTGACAGTTGCATTTGTTTTGGAGGTTCATGTGTTTTAGTTGTTGCATCGTTTCAGTATTTGCAGCATGTTTGCTGTTCATGTTTTTTGTTTTGTCTTTCTGCATCACATGTTTTTCATTTGCAGCGTGTATCTATTGTTGTACTTGTTTTGTATTTTTTGTATGTGTTTTTGAATCTGTATTTGCAGCTCGTTTCTCCCGATGGAAGTGTTCTGGGCCATTGCAGCACATTTGCCCTTGTCAGCCACCATAGGTTAGAGGGGACACATTGCCTGCGTGACATGTGCGTCTCACTCCCCGAGGCTGCATTGTGTGATCTACAGATTCAATTTCTCGTCTATTTTTCACACGTGAAGGGCGTCTCCCAGCAGAAACAGACCTGTTGATGTCATATTGACATCATACTAGCAACATCACATAAAACTGACACCTTCCTCTATAGTTGTCTCTGTCTAGTCTGAATCTGAATATGACACAGACATATTACCATTTTAGCAGCTGCATGTGGACACTGACATTTTCTGTCAAAAATAAATTTGATATCAATTTATAATCAACCTTTATTTATTTATTTTCTCTAAGATACATTGAGGGGTGACCCTCATTTTCAATGATGCCCAGATTACAAAAGCAATAATAAAAACAATTAAATTCAGGAACATTATGATTTAAAAAATTTAAAAGTTTATTTCTAAACTGTCCTAATGTCCTAAAGGGAATCGATACTTAAAGTGCGTTGGTAATTTATTCAAGAATGCTTTATAAATGAAAAGAAATCCAACATGTCAGTAACCTGCTTAGCAGTAACTCTATGTAGTGAGATAGAGCTGACAGTAGCAGCGATGCAGCTGGTGTGAACACACATGCAGCAGCTCAGTGACGGCGGTCGCCACGCTCACGCCACACAGGCAGTGTGCTCCCGGCGTAACACATAGGAACATGGTTTTTGCAATAAGATGTTAGGAAGTTGTTAAAAACAGTTTCATACATTTCTCACTTTCTAGCAAATGTAAGACATAAGCCATCTGCAATTTTAAAACGTGATTAAATAATCAACAAAGGGTTGTCAGAAGAAACCATCAGGTCTGCAGTTTGACACCCTGGCAACTTAAAATCTGTTGTCAGTAAATGATTTATTCACCATCAGTAGAGCAGTCAGTTAGAACAATATTTAACCCCTGTAGAAGTTTGTCTTCTTAGAGAGAGACACTGAAATGTCTCATCATCTGAATCAAAAACAGGCAGAGTATTGTTGTGTGGTGTTACCCTGAATACCAATATGCCTCGAAACAGAATCTATGTAATATGTATGACAGCGTGCCGTACAGACCTACAGTGTGAGCTGGACTCCTCGCTGAGATCAGGGTCCTCAATGCGTTTCCCAAAACTTCTGCTGCTGTGTGGTAGAAAACGAACACACCTCAAAAGTCACACTCACTGACCTGGTCTGTATCTGTCTCCTTTTAAATGACAGCCACCTCCCAGACACTACTGGATGAGCCGTCATGTAAGAAGTGTGTGTGTGTGTGTGTGTGTGTGTGTGTGTGTTCAATGGGGAGTGACTACTGTTCAAGCCCACTAGAGTAGAGTATAAGGAAGCTGTAGTGCGTTCCACAAGTGTGTATGTATGTGTGTGTGTATGTATGTGTGTGTGTGTGTGTGTGTGTGTGTGTGTGTGTGTGTGTGTGTGTCTCCGTCTCCTTGGTGCCATTGTAGGAGATAACGTTTCCTGCCCCTTGCGCCCACATCTTCATCGCCATCCGTCATGATGTCATCTCTCCTGGCCCAGAACAAAGTTATCTCCCTGGGAGAAGCCGGCCTGCCGCGCTCCCTGTTCAGAGAGCACCCAGCCCTGCCCTGCTCCCACCCATGCCTGCTCTGCCTCCACGCTGCTGGCCCCCGATAACAGTCTTGCTCCCTGGCCTCCGCACACACAAAAACACGGTGCAGCTGGAGGGGAGAGGAGATGCTGGTGGCCCCCCCCCAAGCAATCACTGCAGTGTGTGGGTATGTTACTGCTGTTGCATCAGAATGAGGAGGCCTTGAGGGTCGATGCTGTCTAGGAATGTCAACCCTGTCAATCCACTGAACCACTAAAGTGAAGCATAGACAGATGACTGATAAGATGTTTTTCTTTTTATTATTATTTGGTCCGTGTGTAAATCCTAAACATTGCTCAGGAAATGATCAGTGTGGAGGTGACATTGCTCCTACTTGCTCCTCTGGTACTTTTTTTTGCCTCCCTGTAAATGAGGCTATAAACCTGCGTTATCTGATGATTTTTGGCCTCTTGGGGGCAGCAGTAACAAGCTGTAAACACACAAATCAATGAGCAATTTACACATCCAGCAGACGTAGAGTTACATTAGCATTAATTTTCTGTCTGGCTGATGAACTTAAGTCCACATATCCACTCTGCTGTTAGCTCTGTCTGAATCTGTTTTAGTTTCCAGCAAGTCCTCTTTTTAAGCTGCTAAATTATTATTATTGTTATTATTATTATATACTTAATTTAATTATGAAGTCACATTGAGATCAAGATCTCACTGGAGTGCCAACACCTGCAGTTCCTCTACAACCAGTAGAGTCTGGCTCCAAAAGTGAGTCAGTCCCCATAGACTCCCATGTTAAAATGTCCAACTTTACAGCAGAAATAAACATGTTTACAGCCTGGTACAAAAACTGTTTTGGTCTCTAGAGCTAATTTCCTCCTTCATGACACCTGTTTATATAACTCACCTGTTTACATTTTATTAAGGACTAAAGTTATAAAGGATTAAGGGCGTGGTTGCTTTGAGTGACAGGTGGGTGAGTGTTTGCTTGCCACAAACCGGCATGCGCCGAAGTCTCGGCTCGGTTAGGGGCAGAGTCAGGAACTGCCAAGATGGCAATGGTGGAGCAGGTCACTCTGAGCTTCAAAACTGCTCTTCAGACGCCAGTGGGTGACATCACGGAGGCTACGTCCATCTTTATTTATAGTCTATGAACATGACTGGATCTCCTGATAGCTTGCATACTTGGTGTCTCCATACTGCAGGATAAACTTTAGTCCTGCTGGTTCTCAGAATAGCACAATAATATTTTAAGACTTGAAAACTTGTTCAAGATGTTGTTTGTAAAATCCTCTGATTAAATTTCTAACAGAATTTGTTTAAACTTAAAAGATCAAATTAAAATGTAGTAAGAAAAGTCCAGAGAGTGCAGTGATTACCACAGAGGAAGTTCCGCTACGTTGAATCTAATAAGAAAAGCATGACGTTCTCTGACTGGGAAGCAGTGGTGCTTTCTCATCCCCAAAATTTCCTAAAATCAATTTCCCAGTTCAGACGAAGAACAGACAAGAGACTGGAATTATTAATAGAGCACAAGGCTGTGAGATGAACATGCAAGTCAATTATTCATAATCCCTCAAATTAGAGCCTTCGTGTTGAAATAATATTCACTGCAGCTAAAAAATTTTGTTTTAAGAGATCCCGCATTCACAGAGCGTCTGTCAGGAGGGATTTCAGCATTTATTATTATTATATTATTATTATTCATACCCAACAACCATTGGGATTTTAGATTCAAGTAAACATTTGAAGACACACACACACAGGTAGTGGAGGAAGTCATTTAATGGTGAGGAAACAGGCAGAACTGGCAGAAGGAGATAAGACACTCCTAAACAAAACAAAAAAATGACTTGGAAAAAAAAAAAAAAAAAGGGTGGAGGACCAAAGGAGAAAGAGCAGGAGAGGGAGGGGTGGCGATGACTGGGGACGAGGGTGCGTGAGTTATCAGCCATGCAGAATAGTAGTACACCTCATCTTGTTATCCTCTTGTTCGGGCGGCGCGTTTTCTCGTGGAGATAACGGGCGGTTCACTCCGGATCGTGGCTTGGAGTCAGTTCGGCTAACTATGCTTTTATTTGTGTTTGAAAGATGTGAGCCGGTGGTCGTCAAGCAGGATGGTTGGTTGGTCGGTCGGTTGGTCGGTTTGTTGTCGTGTCCCGTGTTGAGTTGAGTCAGTTCATGGAGCAGGATGACACGGAAGAATGTGGATGGTTGGTCGAAGTGTTTTCACTGAGCATGTGAGTCTCCAACAGGCAACACAGTCCTTTCGCCTTCATGAAAACACATATTTGTATTCGCACTTAAAGATGTGAAGTCCTGTTAACACTTTTTAAACTCATGACTACTTCCAATTAATTACCATATTTCCATGTTCACAGGTCGTAACACTTCATGTCTTCTGAAGTTGTTTTTTCTTTCCACTGAGGCCTGCAGTAGTTTATATTTCAGCTGCACCAGTCTGCCAGCACTGAAGTGGCACAGCTCCAGCAGTTTCTTATGTACAACCCTGGACGGCGGCCATTGGCACAGACCCGCTGCCTTCTCCTCACATGGTGTACGCCACCCAGTAGATCACGTTCACCACGGCGAACGTGAAAGGGAACACGGCCCTGGCGTAGATGTCGATGGTGTCGGCGTCGATGGGCTTGCAGACGCACTTGGAACAGCACTTCTTCTTCTCCTCCTCGCTCTCCTCCGGCTGCTTGGACCTTCTCCTCCTCGGCTCGGCCTCCTCGCTGCCCCCCTCCCCGGGGATCTCACTGCTGGAGCGCTGGGTCCGGCCGTGACGGCTGGAAATCATCACGCCCTGGTTCATGCCAGTGACCGACAGGGAGAACAGAACCATGGCCTGTTTGCCGTTCTTTACGATGGACTGTGGGGAGACACACAGAGGGACATGTTAGTGCTGTCTCAGATTAGTTTTCAGCAGTTAGCTCATCTGCTCTCTGCTGGACCGGTTGTGTTGTGTTCAGGAAAATGAGGAAACACACTTAATATGAAAAGACAGAAATGACGTTTTGAGTCCCTCCTCCTAAAAACTGCAGGTTTTACAATGTGGATAAAACATCTTCTGCTGTTTTCTTCATTACAAACACTTTCTGACAAAGCGTCTCTTGCTTTTGTCTTATTCTACTGGATAACTTTGGCGCCTCAGAGGTTCTTGGTCCTTTTTATTTGTCGAAACACTTGACATTTTAAACTCTAAACTTAATTTTTGCAACAAAAACACGTGATGTGTAGATAAGGAAACACGACGGTCCAGAACTGCACACAGCGCACATTTTTATTGATTCCTCAAATTCAAGTCTTGATTATCAAAGAAAAACTGGTTTATTGTGACCTGGGATGTTGCAGTGACATTAGTAAGTCATTGCAGTTTAACTCATATCAACACACACATATTGGTTTAAATCACACCACAGTAATATTCAGTTTCACTCACGTTTTTTGTTGTTACCCTCTTTTTTATTTTTGTTATTTCATTATTTAATATTTCTTTATTCGAAAGAAAGTTCATTAAAAAATAAAACGCAATCGAGACAGATCTTATTCTGAAGGTTTCTCCCAGTGAGATGAACGTCAGCAGCAAAGGAAACAGACAGTACGATGAGAGTCACTGTAACTCCCTGTGGAGCCATCTTCTATTTTCCCATTATGCTCTATAGAGATTCATTGTCTTGCTGAAGGTCAGTTGAATGGATCCTCGGACCCGGTCTATGTTTGAGAGGCACGCTCATTACTCACAACACCCCCCCACCCCCACCCCCACCCCCTCCTGCAGCTGAGCCCTGTTATCTGCTGATGGGATAACATGATGGGAGTGATTTCCTCACCTCGGAGCTGAGCTTGTTGGCCTTCACCTTGGCCTTCTCTTTGAGTCGGTAGTCAGCGTTGTAGTGAGCGAAGGCGTACTCGATGAGCGCCGCAAATACGAAGACGTAGCAGATCCAGAAGTAGACGTCTAACGCCTTGATGGCCGACGCTCGGGGCAGGGAGGAGCGGGCGCTCACCATCAGCGTGGTCATGGTCAGAACAGTTGTGATGCCTGGAGAAAGAACAGAGGAGGACAGATGAGGCTGTGAAACATCTGGAGCAGGTTCTGTTCAACCATGTTGTTCGGGGGGCCACGAATCCTGACGGCTAAGGGCCCCGGACATTTCCCACAGCTATTCTCACTCCGTATGTGCACATGACACAACAAGCCACCACATTTAAAAGCTTTTATTTTTGCCACATTGCAGAAGAAGCCTCATCATTACCTGAGAAAGAAAATAAATAGGCCTCCTTTAAGGAATCAGGCAGAGTGGTTCATTTGATTTTCTGTGCAACACACGCTGCGATATTAATAAAAGTAAACACATAGCTTTCTACGACGCATCATGTCAGCTGTCTGGGGCATCATTTGGTTAATTCTGACATCTCTTACTTTTAAGTGACAAACAGAAGGTAACGACAGAGGAGAGCAAAGAGAACGAAAAAGTTCGAGACGAACTGAACTTGCCTGTGAATTTGAAGCAAACAAACACAAATTAAAGTTGAAAGTTGGGAACATTTTGACAACAGATGTTGCTGTTACTGCCTGGGACTGTAAAACTGTTTACCGAGAAGGCTGCTGCATCATTAGAGGATTTATTGCAGCAAAAATATCAGTTTTTCACATGATTTAGGTCTAAAAATTTTATTTATTTGTAATTAAACAATTTCATGGTTCAACGCTGGTGATCCTCTGACTTTTCCTCGGCAGCAGCTTGACGTTCACATCAGTGGCTGTAAGTGAAATGTCTGAACAGCTGTTGGATGGACTGTTATTAAATTTAGTACAGCTATTTATGTCTCAGAGTGAACACTTTGTGTTTGTGTCTAAAAGTTTACAAAACTAATGACTTTTCCCATCAATTTTAGCTGTTTTTTGTATTTAACGCTACTCAAATAGTGAATATTAGCATGCTAACATGCTAATCTAAGATTGCAAACATGGTAAACGTTACACCTGCTTAGCATCGGCATGTTGGCATTGTCATTTCTTTCTGGGTTCATTGTTTTTCTTTTACTTGGTTTAACACGTCACCACATTTCTATTCTAGTCACGACTTTCACATTTTCAGAGAATTTAAAAGAGTCCTAATCGAACTGATACCAACCTAAGGATACACGAGCAGGGACTGCTGATTGGCTGATCCAAAAGGACACCCAAGACATGGCAACCAGTAATATCGAAGGCATGTATGACTGGATGATGTAGACGCCTCGGTTGCGTCTCAGCTGGAAGCGAAGACTGAGCCGAGGGAATCGTCCCGCTGGGGAAGAAGAAAACAGACGCCATGTTTAATTCCTTTAGCGAAGAAGCTAATTATCCATCAGGAAAATATCACAGAGAACGTGTGTTTGCAGGCTTGTGCCACTAGTGGCGAAACTTCAAGATGTGAGATGTTAAGTTGGTGTTGCAGACTGTGTTTTCCCAGCAGCAACTCCTATCATCTCCTAAACCTCCTGCCTGGCTCAGCAGCAAACCTGGCTTGATCCATTCCCTCTATGCATCAAATATAAACACAGAAGCGCCTGAAGTTAAGAAAACAAAACAAAACTCTCGCTTCAAAAAGAATCTGCAGAGGTTTCCAACACGAGACGAGCCAAGTCCAAAAACTAGTGCTTAATGCATAAAACACAGAGGAAAACGTGCAAAGGGTTTTTTCAGAGAGGTTGTTGCTGGAGCCAAACCTGACACCTGGAGAAACACAGGAAAACAAGATGAATGCTCACCAGATTTGAAGTTCATCATCTCAGTGACGAATCGATAGTCCGTGATGGTGAACTGGGAGAGCTCCAGTTTGTCCAGGCCGTGGATGTGTCTCTGACTCTCCGACCAGTGATACACGATGTCCTCTGAGGAGTAACCGTCTGGGGTGAAATGACAGATGACGACCAGACATTTAATCAGCGCAACCCACAAGTGCTGAGCATGTAGCATTTTTCTCCCCGGCGCTGAGGAACAGTCGGAGCTCGTGATAATAACCCTTTATGGATGTCAGTGCGCTTGGACGGCAAAACGTTTCAGTAGTAAATCAAGAAAACAAATGTTTTTGTGCTACAGGATGTGTGGAGGAGAGCTGAAGGTAAACCCCAACTTACAGCTTTCTAGGTCCAGCATGCACTCCTGTTCATCCATGGGATACTTGGTCAGGTCCATGTCACACGCCACTGTTGAAGTGATTCTAGGAAAGAAAAGAAAGAAACTCTTCTTCATATTCACACAGTTGGATCCATTCATATCTGGTATCTTTCCAATGAAACTAAAATCCTGTATTGTCAGCTGAACAAGAGCTCAGTGATTTATTAGAGGGGCTGTTTGTGAGCTTTCTCTGCCCCTGGATGAGGTTTCTTGGCGGGAGCAGGCGGCGGTGGTTGTCATTCGCCAACAGCTTCAGCCAAGACAAGAGGTTATAAGAGAGAGCTGCAGGGATGGCGTGTTTTTTGTTGTTCGACCCGGATGTTAGCGTCATCCTGGTTCCCTCAACAAAAAAACTGTGTGACAAACAACAGTTTCTGGTCCTGACAGGTTCAGTTCAGCAGGTTCATCTTCACTCATGAAGCCTAAATACAATCAACAGAAGTAAAAAGCTAATGTTAGCCTATAAACCCAAGACACCACGGTCACATGACTTCAACGTCATCACCACCGAACTACAACTTGTAGTTTGATTCTCTCTGACAACCTCTGTGGTCTCATTAAGACACTTGTTAGCCTTTTTTAACAGACGTAGAAGCTTAAAGAAAATCAGGACTGGAGTAATTTACTGATGTATTTTATGTCGTTTTATGACCTATTCAAAAAAAGTGCTAAAATACAACTAACTCCTGGGTTTTAGGACTCATTCCTGCGGCGCTCCATACACCTTCTGAGCTTCGCTGCGTCTCCGGGCAGATCGGAGGCCGCAGTGAGTCGCTATCTGAAAGTGACGACGACGGGGGCTAGCTGGTTAGCGTGCTAACTTCAGTAGAAGAAAAGACGTGATAGAGACAAGAGTTAACTTTGGTGTTTCTTTTTAACATTTCTTTAAACCTTAATCACAGAGGTGACGGATTAGAGAGCAGCAGCAACTGTGGCCCAGGGGTTGAACCGGTTTTGATTTTTGTTCAAATTTCATGGTTCCTTGCCTATTATTACACACTAATGCCTGATTTTAGCTCTTTCGATGATTCACTTTTCCTTTGCCTTCACCACAAACACAGATTGTTTTAAGTCCAGGAAGTTACCACAGGGTAAACAGTTTACTCTCAGATTGTCCTGAGAGACTTTGATGCATAAAGACAACAAACAAGAGACAATCTGTTCTCCCAAATGTCTGCGAGATGCACTCAAAAGCTTAAAAAGAGGATAATTGAAAATCTAAAACAAGCAAGAATAAGAATGTAGAAGGAAGAAAGGTGAACGCGATAGCACCCAGATATATAAACTGGAGCGGTGAGGAGTCTCGCCGGTGGACTGTTCGCTCGTACCGGCTGCTGTACAGAATGACCCCGTTGGGCTGCAGGCGGATCAGCTTGTTCTCCACGGTCACGTCGTGGAACCAAGCAGATTTGGCGTTGACGATGAAAGTGTCGGGGAGCCACAGCTTGTCCACGAAGCGACTGTCCAACCCCAGCGTCTTGTTGGTGTGATTGTAGGACAGGCGGTCATCGTGCCAGCTCTGCCGCAGGAACACGGTCATGGTGTATTCCTGCCAGGAACAACAACACACAACCACGTGGACACACACACACACACACACACACACACATACACACACACACAAATATAACGGCTGAGTCATGGGAATGAGCTGTACAGTATTAAGAGAAAAAAAAGATTTAAAGTTATTTCTTGCTTCACTACAGTCACTATAGAGCCAAATAAATACAAAACTTAAAGGGAAACTCCACCAATTTTATACATAAGGATATGTTTCTTCAACACGAGGAGCAGCTTTCAGCCTGTCAACACTTGAATAATGTCTTTTGTGGCTTTAGAAGAGTTTTGTCAACTCTGACAAAAATTACAGGAAGTGTGAGATTCAGTATTTTTGGAGCTTGACCCAGAAAAAAAAATCAGAATATCTTGTCCTCTTCTTAACTGAGTGCAAAAGTAAAATTGCTGGGCAAAGTCTTTAATTATTTTAATTTGGTGGAAAATGTTTTATCAAATATGTTTTTATTGAGCCAAAGGAAGTTACACAGACAGTAAACTGTTATAAAATGATATTAACGTACATTCACAGGTATAAAACAGATGGTTTAAAGGTATAAAGATTGTCCCTGGGATTTGAACATTATCCAAGATAAACAAAAATAAATAAGTGAACAAATAATGAAATAATTACACTAGATGTAAATGTAAGATGTAAATTCACAAAAAATAAATGTGTAAGTGATAAATAACAAATAAGGGATTAAAGATGAATCTGAATGTAAGAGTGGAAACAACCTTTATCTTCCCTCTTAGATTTCCTCATTTCCTAAACCTCTCCTGTTTCCCTGTCCCTTAAAGAAACAGTGTAAACATGGGTTTCAACTGGGAAAACTATATGTGTAAGGTGTAAAATAAAGGGTTGCCACATAATTTGGTGGAAATCTAAAACCATTTATTAGAAATGTAGTTATTATGCTTCACTACAGCGGAGGAAGAAGCTGATTCTGATGTCATCTGTATCAAACCCATCACTCTTCTATTTGTAAAACACCTTATGAATTTACCCTGATTTTCATCTTTGGTTGTTGGACTTTCTTTCCAATGTTGAAGCAGGAAAAATGATGAATTTGTTTGTTTGGACTAGAATCAAAGCCTCACACACACGACGTGAATCGTCCCACCAGCTTTTGGTTCTTACGGCACGAAATCCATGAAAGTATCAAATTATCTAACAACTCAGCCGATGTGTCACACATGTTCACACTGAGTACTTTCAAACCCTCAAGTGGGATAAATCAGGATTATGCAAATAGAGAATCTTTGATCTTTGCTGCAGTAAAGTGGAGTTTAGGGACGATAAAGAACCTCAGAGGGAGAAAAAAATTAAAAATAAATAAAAACAGGGAAGGAGAGAGAGTGACCGTATACTTTACCATGTTGGCTTCTGAGATGTGGTCAATGCTGGCCACCTCGATAGCCATGGCCACGTTCACTGGTGGACCTGCGGGGGGAGAAGTGAGAAAAGAAGGCAAACGTCCCCCGTCCCCCCCTACACGCACACGCACGCACGCACACACACACACACACACACACACACACACACACACACCTTCTCTGCTCACTCTGGATCCATCAGTCCCTCCCATCCTCACTCCCATCACCCATCTGTTTCCCTCCCACGTCTCAAGCACTCCTACAGCGCATAGAGATTAAGCATTATCCAGTTTAACCATGCTAAGTGGCACATCACACTGTGGGCATTCAGAAACAGCACTGGGCTTTCATGGACTCACACGCACACACACACACGCACACGCACACACACACGTCGTAGTGTCTTCACTTCATAGTTTGCCATATGATTAGCATGGAGTGATCCCCTGTGATCGGACGCTCGAGGGCAGAAACTACGAGGCGGCTCTCTGATGCAGAACAGAAAAAAGGCTATTTATACTGAACATTAAGGAATCATACATTCCCATTCCCCACCAGTCAACACCGTCCCATAACCGACTCTGCTAAATGATATTCTATTGACCATGCACTGCGTGTACAGTGTGAGGTGATTTACAGTGGCAGGTTTACTGTACGCCAAGGTCAGCAGGGGAGATGAGTTTGGCTGATTTACATAGCATCCTCCAGTGGCGGTGCACGGATTAATAATAACATATTCATCTTACAAAACGCCATTTACGATGCTATTTATAAAATGGAAACGTTTGCATTGTGCACAGTCTCACCATTAATCCACTGCTTTGTTTATGTAAATTCATTTTGTTTCATAAAACTTTAATGCAACGTACGTTACACAAATGAGGCCAGATTCACAAATGTGTCGTGTGCCGTGCAAATGCAGTAACAGCGCATTTGCAAACAGCATCCACAAATGTATTTGCACTCGGGAAATTATACCAGCACTTAGCTACTGATACATGTTGTGGCCAAAAGAGCTGAGCAGCAGGAAAGATGTAGTTTTCATTTGCTTGTGCTTTGTCAAGTTGTAGTTTTGTTGAGCTCTCTGGGCCACTGTAGATGTAGCATAAATAAATCGAAGCATTCCCACCGTGCTGCTGAACACGGCCCTGGTTGTTTTAGGGATATTCTTCCAATGTTTTAATGATGTTTAACTCTTATTTTGAAAGTCTGGAAAAATTATTTAGGGGAAAAAAAAGCATCTGCCGATTTATAAATGTAATAGTGTAATATAAATGAATATAGTGTAAAAAAAATTGTTTTTCAAAATACAGTGGGATTCACACAATATGCTAAATATTAATCATATTAATAAAATGATGTGCATTTATGGAATTCTGAGTTCCCCATCAAATGATTGAGAAGAAAAAGCTCCACAAATATCATTTAAGATGGATTTATGTCTCCCAAGAAAAATCTAAATATTGTTTTATATAACGGATTTTTGCATCAGCTCCAATGTGAAATCCACTGGACTGCTCCAAAAAAATATTTCTGAGTGCAAAGTCATATTTGTGAATGTTATTTCATTTACAAAACAAATTTATGAATCTGTTTTTTTTTTTTTATTTGTGTAAGTTTCGTGTTTATTTGATGTTTTATGACACAAATATAACTCCACATAAAAGGCCATGAGATATGAGTTGAATGAAGGGAATTACCCCAAATAACACACATGATTCCCTAATGGTCATAACAGCCCTTCCTCCTGGAGCTTCATGTTCACATTACATCAATAGGAATGTAGTGACCACATGATGCTGCGTTATGATGATCAGCGTAGGCGTGTAAGTGCACAGGGCAGTGTGTGTGTGTGTGTGTGTGTGTGTGTGTTGATAGCAGCGCTCCTGATCCACATTTTCACCTTTGCTCAGCTGAGTTAAGCTGTGAGATTGAGAAATCTATCGCTGTGGTCATTGGATGTTTCACATCTTGCAGCCATTCTTAGCAAAGTCTCCAGAGCAGTGCACATTGTTTGCACCACCCGCCTCCCTCTTGTCCTTGAAGGGCATCGTCCTCGATAATCCCTTCAGCAAAGCTTCTCTTCACCTACATGGTTTTTTTTTTTTTGTGTCCTTAACAAACGATTCACCTTAACTGAAGAGTCGAAGCAGGTGTTTACAGAACTTAAATACAGATTTGTTCTAATCTTGTGCAAGAAAGAAACAAAAATAAAGACACCTCTCGGGATAATGGAGCTGGAAAATGAGATGTAAACGTCCATGTTGGCGTGTCTTGGTCAGGTTATGCTAAGGATGGCTGTAAATGTGAGGGGGTGAAATGCAACCCAACGCCACGAGCAGTAGATCTCATACTCACCTCCTATCCCAGGGCGAAAATTTCTGGCATAGCCCTTCATTAAATCATCCAGATTAGGTAACCAGGATATTTCAATGTCTGTACCTACATAGTCCCCAATGTCACTCAGCATGGCCCTAGAGGAGACAAACAGCAAACACAGCAGCCTTCAGCGCTCGTCCAGCCACAGCATGAGTCCACAGGAAAACCTGGCAGAGCCTCAGATACAGTCAGGAACATACAAACATAATAAAACACGTCTTTAAATACATGACACAATATTAGCTATGAACAAAAACATTTTACAACTGAAGAGAAAACATTAAAGGTCACTGTAGTAAAAGAGGGTTTCTCAAACCTTTCTGGCCCCTGCATGACTTCAGCTTTCGGTTAAACACACTGACGTATCATCATATCATCCTGTTTTATTTTGTAATCACTTCCCTCACTGTGTGTCGGGTGTTAGTTTTACTTCCTGTCTTTGTCCCGTTTCCCTCCAGTGTGATTGTCTGTCCCGTCCTGACGTGTTTTCACCCTGAGTGCAGCCTTAAAAACTCAAATTCAATATCAAAATATTACAAACCTACTTTATCACTTTTTTTATTTGTAGATTTGCAGATGTCCTCAACACCTGTTTTTTGCAAACATGAAATGTACACAAAAACATTTATTACATGATTATTTCATACACAATAACATTCTGAAACTAAGTGAGAGACAAAGTGTGTTATTTTATATTTATTTATGTAAATGTTACGCTATCAATCCACATTTCCTAAATCTCCACTGTTTTCAATTAATTATGACATTGAGTCGATTAAATTTGCAACAGTAAGAAAAGAAATGTGTATATATATAATTAATCTGCATCATAAAACATTTAAAGAGACTTAAGTGGGATAACTTATTCATACCCTTTGTTTTTATGTTTTACTTTATTCAACACGGGGGTTTTAAATCTTTAAGTAATAGTAAATAAAGGTGAGAATGTGACGCCCTGTGTGTCATCATTAGCAGCTCGCCATTTGTTGGAAGTTTTTGCATGAAAATGATCAAAGACACTGAATGTCAAAAAATCTGCACATGTAATAACATGCAGAAGTCGCGCTGGTTAAGACCTGGTTGACGAAGCTGACAGCAGATTCAGATCCATCAGTGTAGCTTCAGGACTTCACACAGCTCAGTGTGAACATCACGCTGTGAGTCCACGAGCCTCAAAAGCTTTTCGTTTCAATTCAAATACTCTCACTCGACTACAGAGCTGCATTTAGTAACTTTCATCCTGATGGAGTTATAACACACTTACACACTTCTGTCTCCGGTTTGGGAGCGTGACACCTCGATTCAAACAGAACTTGTGCTTTTTTTTCATCCCACTAACCTCTCAGGAGGGAATAGCAGTGAAATTAAAATCTATTTTCTGGTATAAAGGGAACCCCCCCACCCCCTCTGGAGCGCTAAGGGACTGCTGCAGGGCCCAGAGCCCACACTGACAGCCTCAGCCTGGGTGTATTTAACAAGAGCAGCGCAGCTCAGATACCACCAGGTGGCAGTTTTGCATTCCTGTAAACACCCAGCATGCAGACACACACACACACACACACACACACACACACAGCACAGCACAGAGCGGACCTCTGTGTGTTTGAGTCGATGTCAGCTCAGTATCAGTCTGTCGTTGGTGCTAATGTTTCAATAATACGCTGTCACTGAATACAGGCGGAGCTTTACAAACAATACATTTCAGATGTAGAATCAAATCTTGGAGGACCTGACCCACGTGCAGCTGATAAGTGGAATAAAATTGAGGGTTTCAGTGACATTCAAGGTCACAAAGTGCCAGTGGTCGCATTGCCAAGGAAACAGGCCACATTATTTTTGACCAACGAATGAAAAGCCCTTCAGTGACCTTTGAAGTCAGGCTGGCATTTGAGGAAAGTCGACCTCCTAGAAAGCAAAGCATCACACACACACACACCCCCCCCACCCCCCCAGGTACGTGGACAAACCGAAAAACTGACCTCCGCACACGCACAACACAAAAACATCTGGCTCTCTGTACAAACACACACACATTTCTGCCGTGTCATTAACATTTCCTGAGCGGATCCATTTTGTAGCGGCGGATGTATTTTTAGTCTGGCAATCACTGTCACGTCTCAAAATAAATGGGAGCACTGAGTGAATTCATTAATCACTATGTGACTCCTGGATTTCTTCACTAATTGGCACTTTCTAAATTTGGAAACGAAGAGCTTTTCCTTCAAGAAATCCGTTAACACGCCAAGGTCAGACGGGCAGTGTGTGTGGAAGTGTTCGTCTGCTGGGGACAAGTCCTACAGCGTGAGACTTTTTATTATAATATGATATGAATTTTACATTACCTCGCTGTATCCTGTCTCTGGTGATCAGATGAACAGGTTTACTGTGACTTTATAGTATGTGTCACACTTTTCTTTTTTCTTATCTTTATTGATTCCAGAGTGATTCGAGTTTATCTTTCAAGTCTTTTAAAACAACAATAATGATGGTTTACAAAATGATAATTAATAAATTACTTAAACAAACAGACATATATCAACACATTTATATACATACTTACGTACCTGTGAATCTCAATAAATAAATAAAAGTGTAAACAGTCTCATTTGGTAAATTTAAGGAACTGGGTTGTCAGGTATTGATTCCAAAAATTTGAGAAATGAATCCCATATTTTAGGAAAAATAGGACTTTTTTTTTATTTGATCATCAAGAAAGTTCATTGATCCAAAGACAATCTAAGATGGTGCACAGGTATATTTCATACTTAGTGTTGCAGTCCCCGACCTTTTTAAAGCCTTTAGTCTGTGCGGTTTCCCCGCTGCGAGCTGTATTTATAGTTACAGATTACTAAATATAACTTTTATCCCGGGGCGGCAGTAAAACAAATTTTCCCTTTAATGTCCAATTAATGGATTTTGACTTTCTTTACACATAGTTCTTCTGTTTTTCCTACACATATCAGAAGCGTGTCACTTCCTGTGCACAAAAGTGAAATTAATAAATCTTCTCTCCTTGATTTATTTATTTATTTATTCATAATTGCTGCATATAAGCAAAATGAACATGTGCACATGCAGGGTCGAACATTTGATTTTCTCTCTGGGGAGATTCACTAAACATTTCCCCTCTCTCTACCCTCCATTCATGACAAACAATTGATGGTGCGTGTGTGTTTTCTCTTCCTCTTGTATTTCATTTTCATCATACGTCTCTCCCGAGGCCTGGATCTCACACCCTTCTGTTTGTGAGCTAACATTAAACAGATGGGGGGATAAGAAGGAGGAGAGAGGGAAGACAAACAGAGACGGCCTTGCTCAAATTCATGGCGTCTTTTCTTTTGTGATCGTAATGTGCAGCACACACTAACGAGCCTAATTAGTTTTTATAGGCTGACGCTGCTCGTTACCTGAACATGTGTAAAGCGTCAGTCCCCTGATCCTCTCTCTGTCATTCACTGCTTCACGTGTTTTATTGGCATCAGTGTGAAATTACAACAACGTGACACAACAGTCACGTCAATAAAACATGAATAAGTTGCACATATCTGTGTGTGTGTGTGTGTGTGTGTGTGTGTGTGTGTGTGTGTTTGCACTACATTAGCTTACAGCGATAATAAATAGGGTCTCGGTTGCTTTTCATCTGAGCAACAGATCTTTTTACTACATTACAATCACATTAGACACTTAGGTATGGAGTCCCAGAAGCGACAATACAGAAATACTTGAATACCTTTAATACTTTACAAAATGAATTTTGTATTTCAGTCTTGTATTTATCGTCTGATGTCTTGGTCGTAGTACACGTTTATCACTTGCCCATTTTACCCACATCCATAGAAAAACAGAGGATACTGCGAAGGGAAAGGAGAAATTGATCGACATTTTATCGACAAAAAATAGGAAAAAAATAATGTTTTAAAAATGTAAAAATGTGTATTTGTGGCTTCTGGAACTCCTGATGTTTGTTTATTTTTCTTTAGTCTTTACGGCAATCAAACAAAATGGAGCTGAGTGTGTCCCAACAACTCCGTCTCCTCGAAATGATGCTTCAATTAAATTCTTTTTGTAAGAATCTAAAACCTACGTTGTTGTCTAGTCTTCTCAGTCCTTGCCTTTATCGGCACATTGCTGCGCTATCTCTTAGCATGTTACTGCTAACAAGTGTCAATCAGAGGTGTAGCTTCAAACCATCAGCAGGAACTGGTCACTTTATCGCCGGTAATCAGAGGCAACTCTAGAGTCCACCAATCAGCATCCATCACCAAAATGTACAAACTCTAAACATTTCTTTTATTATTCCAAACGTTCAGCTTAGAAGAATTTTCTAAATACGTCGTCACATTGTGAATAACCCACATTATAAGGCCGGTGCTCATCAACACATAAAAGACGTTTCCTACTGAGCGCGGTTGTTGTTTTCTCGCAACAATTAAGCTCCTTTTTCTCATAAGAGCAGGAAGCGACACGTCGCCCGACTCTTTGGGCGGAAATGATCTGCTCTCCTTCTCTGGACTGACACTCGACCAATCACAAGCCAGACAGAGACGTACCTCACGACCAATCACAGATCCCCGTTGTGTTTTTTCCCTTCAGGGAGGTTTCCTACTGGAGTCGTTGTTTAAGATGGAGGGAGCTGCATTTTGAGACTGTGTGTATGTTTGTGTTTATACTTTTTATCTTTAGTCTGAGCCTGTTTCTTTCCTCTGCTCTTGTATTGAGAGAAATTCCAGTTGAAATCTGCGGCAGAATAAGATTTTATGATACAACAAATGTTATAGAACAAGCAGAGCTACGATTTAGCATTTCATCCCCGTGTATGGCTTTTGGTTTCTTCTTGTAGGACAAGCCATTTTTATTCTGTCAGACTCTAATAGAAGGATTTTGTTGACTTGACTGGAAATGACTGGCTGATTTAAGTTACTGTGAACGTTCTCTGTTAACTTGTTCATTATTATTATTATTATTTTCAAAAATATAAAAACCAATGATTTCAGCACAAGGAGAAAATATAATGTAGGCCACTGTTTCTTGACATCCTCTCTCTGTGCAGAGGTCAAAGGTCATCTGAAGAACAGATTTTCAAGTCTGAACCCTG